CCCATGCTGTTGGAATGCGTAGATGAATGAGATGATAGTATGGCTTGGTTTTGGATCTAGGAGCCCTAATGCATGATTTATGCAGCCTTATGCTTTATGATTATGAATTGGATATTTTTTGAATGGTGCCCCTGTGATGGGTTGTGGATGATTAAAGGATGGAGGTTTGTTTATGCAACAAGGTTGCTTGTCACATTATGCTTGAGTGTTGTGCTTGCATGATTCCCTGATACTTGTTTCGAACTCGAAGATTGCTGACGTAGAAGAGAGGTCCACCGGAGGTTTGTGAAAGTATGAAGAGAGCTTGCTTTTGTATGGACTGTTTTTCCTAATTTGTTGGTAGGGTCCTGGAGGAGATTATCTTTAATATGAGCTTGGAAAAAGTTTGATCATAATGTGAATGACCCCAATATTTTGCATTATGCCCCTGATTGAAAGACTCCTGAAAAAATGCTTGGCTTTGATGGACCCTTTTGTATCAACTTCTTTTTTGATCGAGCCTCGCAGTGGTTTGCCCCAACATTCGAATTTTGAAAGACATGCCCCTCAATCTCAAAGATCCGGAGGAAGTATCCTTAGAAAGAACTCATACTTTACCATGAACTTGACATATATTTCCCCAATTATTCGAAGCTTGAAAAGTTTATACTTGAAGTTGCTTGAGGAATTTGGACCCTACGTGCAGTAGGATGAACTTGGTACGCACTGCCCCAACATTTGAATCTAGGAAAGTTGCCCCTGCTTCCAGGCCTTGAGAGGTTTATTAAAACGAGGAAACCGAGTCATATCCTGTCGTGGCATGAATGCTTCTTCGAAAGATATGCACCTTATTGAACAATGCTTTAAAATTTGATCCAAGTTGATTGAGCCTCTGAATGATCGCCCCTTGTCAATATTATCTTCATGTGATATACCCCTATGATCATTAGTCTATGCCCTTGTTTATAGGGATCCCCTTAGATGCTTTTGCCCCAGTTAGGAGCTTCTTGGAAAGGATGGCCTTTGATCAGACCTTCTTGAAATCTCTTTGATGCTAAGTATTGATTCGTAGATAAAATTGTACATTTCGAAAAAGTAATTCTATTTGATGCACATGCACGTTCTTGAAATGGATTATTTGAAAAGAAATGGAAGATTAGAAGATGAATATTCAAAGAAGCGGAGTAGTTAGAAATGATTTTAACAAACATAGGAGTCAATTTAACACAAATCTTGCAGAATATGCTTTCATAGTGAACCTAGCCTCAATTAGGACTTTTAAAGGTTGTAACGTGGCCATGGTTCGTGGTTTAAGAAACAAAAGATATAAGGCTCAAAATTAATTTATCCCACCCCATTCTCCTTGATGTTCTCCAATCCTAAGTTCAATTAATCCAACGGATGTGTTTAATCCCCAAGAGAAGTTTTGTAGTCGCGTAGATGATGAGAAGCGTAGGTAAAGATCCAAGCGCCAATGAAAAGCATTGATAAGATATGAGCATTAATAAGATCCAAGCGTTGATAAGATCCAAGCGTTGATGAGAAGCCTTGATGGTTCTTAAGGTGGCAGTCACAAGATTGTTCTTCAATTTATTATTTTCGATCCCTTATTTTTGCATGGACCAATTTTTTTGGAATTATCTTTTTTTATCCACCGGGATGCCCTAACTTTTGCCTAAGTCAAGTTTTGATTTGCTTTGACTTAGCGGGCTTTCACTTTTTTTTCTTGAATTTATTTTTTTTGCTTTTGATTTTAACAATTTGTGACGGCCATGTTGATTGTTGTAAGCTTCGTCTTCATCGCTTCCTCGATCTTGATTGACACACTGAGGTGAAAGATGTCGTGGACCCTGCTTTTTTATTAATTCCTCGATCTTGGACGATGAACATAGGGAAGATGATGTGCTCAAATATTTGCTTAGATCGTTCTCTCGATGATGAATCAAGGAAAGAGATATGCTTGAACCTTTGCTTAGATCGTGTCAATTCTCTTGGGATTTGAATGCATCGTCGAATTAATTGAAATTTACCATGTCCCTGGTTAAGATGAAGGTTTTTTTTTTAGAAAATAGAAAGAACTCCGACTTCTGGCTCGAGGGGGTTAACTACAGATTATCTCCTTATATCTCCACTATCTAGGGATTGAAATAATGCCTTACATCGTCAGCTAAGCCTTACTATTAAAAAGCATACGCCAGCAAAATTCGATTATTTTGTATTTCATCATTCTCCATCGAAGTTTGTTAATTTAAAAATGGAAAAGAAAGAGTGAAAATGGAAAGTTGTTGACTTTTTTTTGTGGAATGAATCGATTTCAAAAACATGCACGCTTATTTTATTAGAATTACTTGACTAAAAAGTACATAATTTATGACAAATAACACTCAGCAAGAAAGAAATTACAATTTGAAATGATAAAAGCCTAATGATCTAGAGATAAGCCTTCTTGTTGATCTACTGACTTCAGGAGATGCTTCATAGTTTTTGGACTTGTCAGAGCATGGGGGTGACCCTTGACTTTTCTTGGGCATACCAAATCCATTGATAGGAAAGTTGATGTTGATGTAAAGGAATCATCAATCGTAGTGGCATTTGAGGCGTTGTGTAGGCCTGTAGTTGTCATGGTGAAGGGATGCCTTCTCTCTCCAATAAGATTTATAGGACCAAGCTCCATTGAGTCTCTAGTATATAATCTCCTTTTTCCACACTTTCAGACTTTCTTAAGTTTGTTGGCGAGTATCAAGAAATCGACTAGCAAATGGATGATAGTTGGATAAGGGCGAAGGTGGAAATGCATGAAATGAAAATGTATGAATGTACGAAAATACATGGGTATGAAAAAAAATCGCTTTTAGGTATGCAAAAAAGTTTCATGGATATGTAATGCGATGTAGACGTAGTATGATGATAGACGTAGGGGTACCCTATACAGGTTTGATGATGATATCCTACTCTGACTCAGAAGTTGAGACAGGCAGGGACTCCTTATGGATGAAGATGATAAAATACATAGATTTGATGATGTCATACATTATCTCAAAGATTGAGACAAGCAAGGATTCCCTAAGGATTATGGTAAATGAAAGACAATGAGGAGTCCCTACAGGATAAGGATAACAACATATACGGAAGCCCTACGGGCTAGTAGAAGGTGAAAAGATAACCCTTGCGGGTTTAAAGATTGTAGTGAGATTTGTGAAAGGTATCCTTAGAAGGTAGGTTCTTAGTATTAGACTAAGGATATTCTACCTCCCCATAAGGTGGTTTCCTTAAGGGTATCATGAATATCACTAGAGGGAAAGGCGCAAGGGCCTCCCTTAAGTGAAGTCTCTTTGCAGACCGAAACTTTCGTCTCTAGGTCGTGAAAGGTCTCATCATGAGATTTTAGTTTAGGGTTATACAAAGAGTCATAGGCGTCATTCCAAAGTCCTACTTCCCAAGAGGATGTCTCTTGAGACGTATTTCTTTTTCGGAATTCCACCGACTCTAGGCGAAGTCGTCACATAAACTCATAGGGTTGATGTAACCCCTTGGCTAATAGACGAACCTTCTTTCTAAGGTTCTTGAGAATAATTTTTTTGCAAAATTATAAATCCCACCACAGATATATAAGTATAATGAATAATAAAAAATAAGCAAGAAAATAAATAATTAAACAGGAAAGAATAAAACCCAAAAATAAAGAAAAACCCTAAAACCTAAAGTTGAGGCTTCTAAACCTAGGGTTGACTCCCCAGCAGAGTCGCCAGCTGTTGCAACTGGTTTTTTTATTAGAGTCGTCACCCTTAATTTTTATCCTAATGGAAGGGAGTATAAAGGACTAACCCTAAAGTTCAGAGATTCTAGATTTGGACTCGGTTCTAGACGAGGGGAAGGTGTTAGGCATCACTCATCTACCTTGTTCACAAGGATACTAGGTTTAGAAGCGCATTGTTAGGAAATAGGGTTTTTAAGTATAATTAGTGGAAAAGGGTTTTAATTTTAGTTAGCGGGACTCGCAACGATTTTTGATCGTATGCCTACGTATCCTCCTTAGGAGGAATCAGAGTCTCATTTTCGTAGTTCGCGGTGTTTGGTTTGTGTTTTTTTTATGGATTGCATAGAATTGCTTTCGAATTAACTTTGAACATTGTCTGAGTTGTAAACTGGGTGATCGTAGACGCAGTTCGTAGTTTGATTCGAAGACGATGCTATTTAATCCTTTTTGAAAATGTTTTTGAATTTGATTGTTATGTCAGTAAAAAAATGATTTGAGATTGGTTAGTAGTTTTAAGACGCAGAGCGGGGGAGTCTGATATAGTCTCCTCATCACGTGGTCAGTTATTGACTTCGTGCTGCTCGTTATGAAGGATGCGGAGGAAGTCTGATATAGTCATCCTCCCCCACGTGGCCAGACATTGGCCACGTGGCGCTTGCGGATGAAATATTTGATAAATTGCATGAATTTTAATATTTTAATATAAAATATTAAATTGATTTAATTATAATAAAAAAAAAGTTGTTCAAAGTTTATTTTAAAATTATGCACTAATTATTGATTTATGTACAAGGTTTGTGAAATACTATGTTTAATAATAAAAATAAGTAAACTGAATATAATTAGCCTAATCAATATTAACCCAAATGAAAAGTAAAATAAAGGGCTAAACCGATAACACAAAATTAAATATTTAATTAAAATTGAATAATAAATTACTAAATTAAAAAGAAATCAGTGCAATTCACGTTAGACTAATGACGATGAAAGATGTGAATACGAAAATTTTAGATCCAAAGCCCATTTATTCTTAACTCTAATCTATAATTTTTATATGAATTAAATAATTAAATAATGAAAAATACAGTAATATGAATATATAGAAAATAACATAACCATATTTTATTCTTAATCTTTCTCTCTCGTGAGATTCTCATTCCCACTCCCTTTTCTTTTACAGATTTATCAACCAAAGTAAACACCCTCTTTTGTTCACCAAATCTCTCTCAGATCCAATCACTAGGCATCATTGTAAACAAAACAAAAAAAAACAAACAAATATTCAAGGCAAGAAATAAGAGAAAATACCAAGAGTACCGGTCCGAGCTCGTCGATTGTGGGACTCCGGCGGTGCTATGCGGTTGATTCCGGCAGCTGGTTATCGACAGGTTTGCGTTGGAGGGGTCGTGGATCGGTAGTGGTGTTATGCGGTAGATCTTGGTTGTGGTGTGTTGACGGTGTTGGATCTGATCCGTGCAAATTTGCTGAATCCTTTGCATTTCTTCCCGATCTGCTTCGCTTCAAATTCCTTGGTCTACCCTGTCATAAAAAGAAAAACAGTACATTGTTGTTGTTCTTTAGTATTGTTGTTATACAAAGTTTACAGGTTCTATAGTCCTTCTTTTCTTCCTTCAATCTACAAAACAAAACTTGAACTTATATTGAAATTGTTGTGTTCAAGAGATTGTAACTTTTGGGATTAGCATAGAGATTTGAAGTTGCTGTTTTGAAATACTTGAACAGAGTTTAATGTATGGTTTTTGGTGAATTAATTTGAAGGTTGCTGCTTTTTTTTCCAGGAATATCTTATTCTGTAAAAACAAGTTTGCAGATTATGGTTTGGAAAATAGTTGTATATACAAAGTGGGTATGTAGAAGTCTGTGTATGTGACCAAAAGGGGATTTAATTTTCATGAACAGGAGGAAACTGGTTGATTAAAAACAGGGGTTTTGTGTGTGGTACATGTATTAGAAATGTGTGCATATACCAAGTGACAAGAAATTATGTATGAAAAATGTGTTAAACAAAAATAAGGATTTGTGTGAAAAACCGTGTAGTGCCTAGAGATTGTGTGTAAAAATTGGTACAAAATATAATTAAAAATAAACGTAACCATCAAAATATCATCACGTGGTTAGAACAACAAACAAATTAAAATATGAAAAAGATAAAGAAAAAATTGAAATTATAAGGGAGGGGACCTCATATGAAATCACCGGCAATTTGAAAGAAAAAAGCAAGTTTTTTGTGGATGAATTGTAAAATTTCTAGCTGATTTAGAAGTGAAAAACATGTCCTATTTATAGATTAAAAAAATCATCCAAATTGGAAATAAAACAAACTTGACCAATAAAAAATAAGGTGTGACACAAATTGACATCCAATGGCCAATAAGAAACACCTATTTAAAAAGGAAAGAAAATTAGTGACAAAAAAATAGAGAAAAGAAAATATTGAAAGTGCGGCACAAGAGATTCAAACCCGCGACCTTATATTTGTAAGCTTCATCCTTTACCAATTGTGCTATGTTACTCATTTGTAAATAACTCAATTGAAAGTATATGAAATGTATGGGAATATTTATTTATTCAAAAATACAAATGATCTGAAATAAATCATTATATTTTTAAACAGGTTTGGAAGTGAATATTTTATAAAAACAAAATAAAATTTTAAAATCAATAATTAAAATAATTTTTACTGTTGAAATAAATGGTGGGCAAATTTGGGGTATGACAAACCTGTACACGTGAGTGTGTGTAAATAGTTGTTTTGCAATATATAATAAAGAAAAACAAGGAGCGCAAAATTTGAAATGCAAGAACGTCCAATGCTTTTATTAATGAAATATGAAAATGACACACATAAAGCCCTCACAAATGAAGCCACGGTGCCCCAGGTAAGACACCGGACCGTAAAGTTTAAAACATTGTCTCTTACATATTCAAAACAAAAGTTCCATTACTGGGTAACAAAAGTAATAGAGATGAAGTCTTTTGCTGTCCAGTTGCATTGTCCACCGTCGATCGTAGGATAGATCCAGCTGTCGAATTCAGACTCTTCTACATCGTCTTCAATGGAATTCACTCCCGAGTTGCTGATGAACACGGGAGGTCTTCCGATTCGTGCATTCCGAAGAGCCCTTTGAGCTTCTGCAGTGAAACCCAAACCAAACTTGTTAGTCTTCTGTGAAAAATCAAGGAGTCGGTCCCAATTTGCACACCCACCTTTCTCAATAACAGCCCGGGCATCCTTGAGGGAAACCATCTTCATAGGAGAATCTTCAACAACAGTCTCAACTGACGCCAGCGCCTGGGGAACCTCTTCAAAATGCTGGAATGGAGTCTCAATGAACTCCCCATCCATTTCTACGTATCGGAAAGAGTTGAGGTGGATAACCATGTACTCTTCCTCTCCTTGTACTGTCACAATCTTCCCTTTGACCGGGTACTTCAGCTTCTGGTGGAGCGTTGAGGTTACGGCCCCGGCTTTATGGATCCATGGATGACCCAGCAAACAAGAATAAGATGGCCGAATGTCCATCACATAGAATCTAGAATTGAAGACCTGAGAACCAACCTTGATAGGGATATCAACTTCTCCATGCACCATTCTCTTAGACCCATCAAAGGCTCTGACGAGAATGTTTCTTGGCTTCAGCTCCAACCCTTCACAATTCAACTGATCCAGAGCTTTCTTAGGCAAGACATTTAATGAGGAACCAGTATCTACCAATACATGTGCAAGAGTAGTGCCCCTGCATTCAATGGAGACATGCAGGGCATCGTTGTGATTCTTCCCTTTGGCAGTCAAGTCGGCGTCAGAGAAACCCAACCCATTATCAGCAGTCAAATTGGCCACACAATTTGTAAACTGATTAGCTGATGTCTCTTGTGGTACGTGGGCAGTCTTTAAGAAGGTAATCAGAGCCTTGGCATGGGCCTCTGAACACAGCAATAGTGACAACATAGAAATCTTGGACGGGGTTTGCCCCAGCTGTTCAACTACATTGTAGTCACTCTTTTTGATGATCTTCAGGATCTCTTCCATCTCTTGCTTAGAAGCTTCAACGGTAATCGTCTTCGGTGCCTCCGTCTGGGCAGGCACATTAGTGGTGATCCCTTTGCCCCGAGTGTCAGATGACTCAGCGACAGGGGTCAGGATAGGAACTTGAACAGGAATGGTAGCAGGTACACTGGCAGGTGTAATAACAACGGGTTTTCGAACAGTTGGTGGAGAAATATCAGGTGAGAAAAGTCTTCCGCGGCGGGTGACTTTAGCAGGTCCAACAATATTGCTGACGTCAGTATCAGCATCCCACTCTTGCTTAACTCCATGGAAATAAACATCAGCCACATATTGCCAAGGGACAGCTTTATCAGAGGTGTAGGGGATGGGCCCCGGAACAGTGATGACCACAGGTGCGATTCTTGGAACAAATGTAATTCTAACAGGCTTCCTCGAGGGAGCCTTGGAAGAATTGTCGAAAATGGTAATGATGGCAACTTCTTCAGAAGGAACAAAGGGAACAACTGTCTTCTCAAACAAAATCTCCTTGCTATCCATCAGGCGTTGGACACCTGACTTCAAAAGATGGCAACCAGTAGGCAGAACAGAACACATACGGCAACCTTCGTCACAGCCCGGAAATAAACCGGCTAGCAAAAGGTTCTTCTTTACAGTCATCAGAGGGGTAACAACATCATCCACAACAACGGCAAACAAGTCTTCTTCTATAGCATTCACTCCATGCTTGGGCATAGGAGCAGTCACAACATTAGGTCTTTCGGGCGTCTCGAACTCAATCTCCTTCACATCAATTAAGTCATGTATCTTATTCTTCAAAGTCCAACAATCATCTGTATTATGCCCGGGCTATCAGAGTGATAAGCACATCGGGCATTAGGGTTATATCTTGGTGACGTTGTATTTGAATTCTTTGGGGCTTCCTTTAGAATCAACAGATTGGTCTTCAATAATTGTGGCAGAATCTGAGATAAGGTCATGTTGAGACGGGTGAATTGCCTTCGAGGCCTCTCATCCTTTTGTTGATTATTGTGTTGAGGAGCACTAGCAGGTTTTGAAATAACAACCGCATTAACAGCTTGGTAGTGTTCAGGTCTATTCTGTCTTTTCGAACTGTAGACAACACTAGATTCTTTCTTAAACAGCTTCTTCTTGGTGCTCGATGAGGCACCCTTCTGTATCTTACCAGCCTTAATACCAGCCTCAATCCTTTCACCAGTCAAAATCAGCTCTGTAAACCCAGATGAAGAGCTCACAATCAGATGGTTGAAAAATGGACCAGACAGGGTCCCCGGAAACATATCCACAAGCTCCCGATCAGCCAAGGGTGGTTGTACTCTCCCGGCGAGGTCCCTCCACTTCTGAGCATAATCTTTGAATCCTTCACCCGTTCCCATTGACACACCCTGGAGTTGGGTACGCGTAAGAGCGAGGTCGAAGTTGTACTGGTACTGCCTATAGAAAGCAGTAGCCAAATCTTCCCAACTGCGGATACTGGCTCCGTCCAACTGATAGAACCACTCAAGCTGAGTCCCTGAGAGACTGTCTTGAAAGAAATTGATCCATAGGTTTTTATCAGCGGTATACGGCTGAATCCTCCTCACATATGACCGGAGGTGCAACTTCGGACAAGAAACCCCGTCATACTTAGCAAAGGCTGGTGCCTTGAATTTGTGGGGAATCACCACCCCAGATGATAGACCTAGATCACCAAAGTCCAGACCAGGTACCTTCTGAACTTCCATAGCATTCAACCGGTCTTCCAGTTGCTTGTATCTATCCTCAGCAAGAGGATACTGTTCTTCATCGAAGTCCGTCTCGTTGTCGGAGACCACAGGGCTAGGAGCCCTCCTTTCCTCTTGACTATCTTTCCCTCCAGATGAGGTGGTCAAATCAACTTCATTCTGAAGCCTGTTTCCAAACCGGTGACCTGTGTTGAACGGGATTGTCCTCTTCTTCTTTTATTTCAGAATCAGGGTCTTCAGATCTTGCTGACCCTTAGCTAGATTCATAAACAACTCTTGAAATTGGGCATTCTGGGCCTGGAGGGCCTTGATAGCTTGCTCAGTTGAAGGTTCAGCAGACATGATGAGTGCTGAAATAAACAGCGAAGAAGATAAGAGACCTGTAATGGGTACCTGTTTATGAAGTGCATGAGATGAAATTTGTATGATTATGATTTCAAAGACAATCGAGAGATTCAAATTTGTAAACCAGAAAGGAAACACACTTTATTAGAAAAACTTTGGAATCCAAATTGTTTAACAAATTGCCTTTAAGGCGTTACATGAAAAGAAATACTGAAAAGTAAATAAAAACTGGAAAGGAAATCATCAAAGGTCCATCAATGCTCCCATGGTCTCTTCTTATCAGTGCGGACATAGTCGTTGAGAATCTGCTCGTTCTCCAACTGCCTAGTCAACCTCTGGATCTTTTTCTCTTGCTCGTTGAACTTCTCTCGGTAAGAATTCCGTTCTTCCCTCAGTTTCATCCAAGACCTTTTCAGTTCCCCAATGTCAGTGGGCATATGAGGATGGAGGATGGTTGGAAGAACCCCTTCTTCATTAGCAACTTCAACAATGATAGGC